GGTGCGGGGCCGGGCCTGGCGCGGATGGGCTCGGGGAGGCCGCGCCGGGGGCTGCGGGGCGGCGCTAGGCCGCGGGCTGCCCAGCACACGTGTTCCCTGGTGCGTTCCTGCGGGGCCGCGGGTTTCACGTTAAACGATGGGAAATGAGAACTAAGGCCTGAGTCTTCATCAGCTGCTGTGCCTCTAATTAAACGTTATTTATTTATTCTAGGCTGCGAGCTCAAAGCAGACAAGGAGTATCAGTTCAAAGTAGATGATGAAGAAAATGAACATCAGTTGTCTCTGAGAACGGCAAGTATTTGGGGTTTAAATGGCTGTTTTTTAAGTAGTGCCCAGTGCTGTGTGTAGAGCTTTTACGTTTATTTACGTTCGTTTCCTTAAACTTCTTTTAGTGTCACGTGTTTTTATGTGATGCTCTTTAACAGTAAGTCCTTACTGGGGGTGGAGCAAACCACATCACTTGGAAGTATTTGCTGTGTTAATAAAACGTTTGAAATGTCCACTGTGTTTAGTCGTTAACAGCAAGCAGAGCAAATCTGTAACAGTTTTTAAAGGAACTCACAGGGTTAATTACTGTGTGCTTAGTGGAATTAAGGCTAGAACATGCACACTGACATATCTAATGCAGCAGTTCAGGGCTGCAGGAGCACAGGGGGAGGAGGGATTTACAGGTCACCCATGAGCACATTTTAGTAGACTGAATTAGAAATTTTATTTTAAAAAAGCTTTTTTGTATCTTCCCCTAACATAATTCTAGTGTTGTTGTTTTTTCCTTAAGCAGTTAATAACTAAATAAAGGGGGAGGAGAGTTTGATGTTTTGATTTAATGCCCTTGGAGTTGCCCTCTCAAAGAATGTGACTGGGAATCAGTCCTTCATTCAGATAATTAACTGGCTGTTTGCTGAGCAGGGTACTCCTGGAAATCAGGATCCATATACTGAGGTTTCTTAGATGTGTCTTTAAAACTTCCCTGCTGCAATGGCCAGCAAGCCACCATGTTTCAAGGCTTTTGTGGTGGCCTGAGCATGTTACTTTTGATTAGCAGAAAGATAAGATGCAACAACTTACCAGGGAAGGAACTAAGGAGTTGTAGCCTCTCTACTTCATGGTTTATTACTGTGTTCATTTAAATACAAAGGGATACTTTAATGACACCTGGGAGCAAAGAATCATGTAATTGTGGATTACTTACTACAGCAGAATTGCTGCCTTCAGGAAACTTGTAATAATGCTCTCCAGACTTCTTCTAGTGACACTTAAAGCACTTAAATATGGGCATTAGAGGTTTGTGAATCACGTGTCTTCAGTTCTTGCATTTTATGAAAATTATAGTCCAGACTTCATAATGACTAATTTGTTGTAAATTAGAGTTTCATTTGAGGGCAGAATGTAACTGATTTCATGTGGATAGGTCTTATATTTGAATGTCTGTCATGGAGATGAAACTGCTCACTGACAGATAACTCCAGTTGTATGGCTTTATCCAAATATCCTGCTTTTGGAAATTCACCCATGGCAGATCTTGTTGGGCTGTGCACCCTTGGTGGGGGCTGCAGCAGACTGGGTGTATGCACCACTGTTGGGGGGGGGGGGGGGGGGAGAGTCTTAGTTCAATAAAATGCCTTTTAAAAACAAAAAATAGTAGTAGAAATGGGGGGTAGAATAACATGACAAACTGGAAATGTATAAGAGGCCTGGGAGATCTGAGACACAGCTGCACACAGAAGGTGCCTTGGCAAGCAGAAGGAGTAGCTGGAAGATAAAATTATAAGGAGGCAAGTACCTGGTGACTGATCTGGGCACCTGATATAAGATTGGAGGTGTAAAGACTGCCAAGTGCATGTCATTTAGGATGCATGTGGCAATGGACAAGGGTATGAGGTACAGAAAGAACTGAGAATAAAAAAGTGTGGAAATGAAAAGGGAAGAAGGATCAATGTGTGTAGAGGTGGAAAGTAGGTGTCTCACTAATGATAGGTGAGAACAGAGAGGAAGGTCACTGCTTCATTACCTATTTATTGCCACTGTGCTTTCCTTCAGAGTAGGAATTCAAACACATGGAAGGATGCTTGCCAGACACCCTGTACATAAATTCATAGTAAGTGCTGGTGGGTAGTCCGGCTGAACAATTTGGTGTTTTTGCTAACCCATTTGAGAGGGGAGATCAGAGCCACAATTTTACCTCTTCAAATTTACAATAACAAAACTTGCCAGGGGTAGTGAATCCTGTATCCTGTTTCTTAGCTTTCAGTCTGATCTGGCCTGTCTGGATCGTTCTGTCCTGCCTAAAACTCTGCTCTTGGAAAACAGAAATTGGAGTTGTATGCCTGCCTGAAGTGTTTACACCCACAAGCTTTCTTCTCGTGGGTGTTGGGAGAGGAAACAGCCTTGTTCACTTGTCTTAGGAATCATTGTAATAATTCTGACTCAGATGCCAGGGGTTCAGAGAGCAGGAATTTCAGGCCTCTCCTATGTCTGCCACTCACTCACCTCCCTGCAGCTGTGGTTTTTAAAGCCTCAGAAAGTGCCAGACTTGTACTCAGTGTGAGGTATCTGGGCAGTTGAGTTTTGAAATGCTCTAGGGCAGCAGCTTTTGCTCCTTGGTGAGTCAATGCAGAAGGCAGATGTGTGAATGACAGCACTGAACCCAGCAGTTCTTAAAACTTAACTCATCACCGAATGTCAAGTAAGCAGAAAGTGTGAGGGAGATGAAAATGGCAGGAAGGAGAAGGAAGATGGCTGTGATTCTGCAGCAGTGAAAATGATTGCTTCCTTCCCTCTAGGCATGTGCTTGTACTTCCCTTGGGCTGCTTCAGTGCTGCCTGGACTCGTCACTGACCCACTTCAGTGCCATCATCCAGTAGCAAAAGGTCTATTTTTCACTCTCCTCAAAACACATGCCTGGAGTTCACCTTGCAGGTGCCAGTGGTGCTGGGGAGAGAGGTTATTTGCTTGGGGAGGAGTGCAACAGGAGCATTGGCTACCAGAAATTCAGTCTTCAGTCCTAAGATGCCCAGCAGTGAATGGAGTTGGAAAGACTTGAGAGTATTGGGGAAGTTCTTAAAATGTGTCATTGTCCTTCTTTCCCTCACAGGTTACTTTAGGGGCAGGCGCCAAAGACGAATTACACATTGTAGAAGCAGAAGCATTGGACTATGAAGGCAACCCTGTCAAAGTAGTACTGGCATCTCTGAAAATGTCAGTGCAGCCTACGGTAAGCACAGGAGTGTGGCAAACTCTTAGAATTGGGTTTCAGGTGAGAAGGATGAGTTAAGAAAGGTTTTGGTTCCCTGAATTGTAGTGAACTTGCAGAGGGGTCAGCAGGTTCAGACAAGTGTCAGTTTTGGCATGTGTAATAAGTACAGGCTAAATGGGAATGTATTGTGTGCCTGGTAGATGAATTCTAGTCATCTGGAAATGATAGACTTTGGTTCAGATGGCACATTTCTTAAAAGAAGTGATGGTGCTGATGCATGTCCTCACAGTGTACACAGACGGCTTTGCTAGCAGATGCACCTATAGCCTGTGTTGCTTTCTTTGAGCCTGGGAGGAGAATAAACTAGTTTTTCTGCAAGTCCCAAGCTCTTAACAGCTTACATAGATCATTTCTACCCTTTAGTGATTGAAGAGCACACTGCTTGTCATTCCTGCCATTTGGAATGTAATTTGTATCTGTTGTCTGAGTGGAGCTGCACGATGCTGGGGACAGGTGTGAGTGAGGATAATGTTCAGATTGGTATTGCTGCCAAGGGTAAAAACAAATGTGGCTTCATCTGGCTGTGAGAAGTGTGCTTGAATAAGCAGTGAGAGTGTATTAAACCCTGTTGTGGCTTGTTGGCCCTGATTTGACTAAGGACTTCTGCAATATTCTGTCAGATAAAAACTCAGTAATTACATGACCTTTGGAGTCTACAGATGTTGATGCTCCTGGTTTCATTTGAAAGGGTTGTTGGTTAAGCACGCTTTGCATTTAATATTTGAATAAATGAACAGTGCTTTCTTTTTTTTTTCCCTTAGGTTTCATTAGGTGGCTTTGAGATCACACCACCCGTGGTCTTGAGGTTGAAATGTGGGTCAGGGCCAGTTTATGTCAGCGGTCAGCACCTCGTAGGTATGTGTCCCTCTGGGTCCTAACCCTGATCATCCCACACAACTCGGGGTGTATCTAGTACCTCAAGCAGTATTTCCTCTTAATGCTGACCCTCTGAATCTTTTAATTCGCACTCCTCAGAGAGGTAACTGGGACAGAAGAGTTCAGAGAAATGCTTGCAAACCTTCTCTTCCCATTTTGTGGGCACAATGGGAGTTTGTCTGCCTTGCAATTGGAGTTTTAATGTCTCTCCTTAAAAATGGGTGTTAGGTTCCCAGTGTTAGTGTCTCACAGCAGAAAGCTGTGAACATCACTCGAGAGTGACAGGGCTGCCCATAAAAGTGTTTTGAGCTTGTGCTGAAGACCAGGACAGGAGTGGCCTTTGTGTAATAGTCTTTGATCTTTAGAGTTCTTAAATGTATCCCCTTACAAATGGCAAACGATTTATTCTTGTCTTTCTGTGGTTTCTTTTCTGTGAGGAACTTTACAGGCAGTGTGTGGAGGGTTATTCTCCCATGTTGGATGTCAGTGTAGTGGTATCTCCATACTTCCATATGTGCATTTCCTCCCTACTGGAAAAGTTGCTGATCTCAGTGGTTATTTTCTAGCAGGAATCATCCTCCTATTAATTCAGCACCTCAAGTTATGCTCTGATCTGCTTAGGTGTGGGTGATGCTCTTCTGTGTGTTTTTTACTAGCAGTGTTGTTGTAAATACTTTTACCTGAGGTGTGTTTTTAACTCGTTGCCATCACTTTATCAGCATTAGAGGAAGAACCAGAATCAGACGATGAGGAAGATGATACAAAAATGGTGAACACTTCAGCAAAGAGACCAGCAAGTGGAGGAGGAGCTAAAACACCACAGGTATGGGTACTTTCAGTCAACTTGTATGCAGAATTTGCTTTCAGTTTGATATCAAATCTGCCTCTAGGAATAAGCTTGCTATGATTTACTTAATATGTGGTCTGTGGGGCCTAACAAGTACTCAATTACACAAGTGTATTTTCCAAAGCTTTGCTGGAGGGGCAATAGGAAAGCTGCTTTGATGTCAGAAGTCTTGCCCACTAGTGAGTGTGTGCAGATTCCAGTGTAATGTCACCTTGCTGCAAGAATTGAATGCTGGTGGAAGCTCTGCAGGGCAGGAGGGCAGGTTCCTGTGCTCAGCATGTGCACACATTACAAGGAGGTGCTGTGGATTTGCCAATAGCTTTGGAATTGGCAGCTGTCACAATTTTTAGCCAAATTGATAGGAGCCAATCTTGTAATTATGCCACAAATGGTTTTGGGTCAAGGTTGCTGTTAAGACAAAATGGTATTGACACTTCCCATACTTGATCTTTTTTAAGAAAAAACCAAAATTATCAGAAGATGAGGACGATGATGAAGATGAGGACGATGATGATGAGTACGTATTCTTGTTTTGATGGTGTATTTTGAAATGCAGGTTAACTCTTTCAGACTACAAGTTGTGTATCATAACTAGATACTAAATGCACAAGCTGGTTGAGGTAAAAAGCAGAAGCTTTTCTGTAGCCAAGATAATCTCCACAGTATAATCTAAATTAGTGTTATTGAAATGTGTCATACTAGGTTGTAGAATTTGGCTTCATGTAGTTCATTAACCCTTAGTCAATTTAGAATGTCTTTGTCAGTGGAAGTGATCCTAAGATACGTGCCTTCAGTATTAAAGCAGAAGGGAGCACATTTAACTGCTTTACCAGTACTAAGTGGATTATTTGGCCATGTGTTATTAGAAGGTATAAAGTAGATTTGCTTCCTCCATGACTAAATATTTTGTTGGGGGTGGAGGCTAATTCCTAATGTGGCTAAAGCTGAGAGTATCAGTCTTGAGTTATGATGGCTGCCTTTTTAATTGCAGTGATGAGGATGACTTAGAGGATGATGAGGAAGAAATCAAAACACCAGTGAAGAAAGTAAGTGGCATATATATATATTTATACACATACCTATTGTCATCTTCACCCATGAGGGATTAAACAGCCTGTTTAATGAACTGTAAAGGAAGTCAGAGTGGTAACACCAGATAGACTTAGTATCTGCAGCTCAGTTTGTTCAGACAGGGGAGCAGGTGAGAACACCTTTTAACATACTAATAGGTGTTAATTTAACTGTCCTGATTTGGGTCATCTTGGAGGATTCATATGGAGACCCCTAGAACTGAAGGGAGGGGGAGCTGTTTGCATAACTGAGGTAGCTGTTGAGCTTTGAACTCTGGGTCTGTGGCAATGCAGAAGCTAAATGAAGCTTCCTTTTCTGTGGTGTTTTATAATGGACTGAATACCAGTACAAGGGGTGACAGGAAAGGGGCAGATTGTCCCTTCAGTCAGTGAGTTCAGGCACAGCTATTTGGAGACTTTATGGTTGAGCCTTTTGTTAAAGAAGTTGTAATAAGACATTAGAAGGCTTCAGTGTGAATGTGCATCGTGCAATGTGTGTTACTTACTTCAAACTGCAGCTGCAGAGGGGTGGCTGGGTCCTTAGCAGCACACATGTCTAGTTGTCAGCCTAGTAGGATTTTCTGTGTGACTGTTGGGCAGAAAACAAAATCCTGCTCAAAGATGTGGGTTGTTGGCAGTTCAGTTAGTTCTGCATGCTGCGAACAAGGTCTTTTTTTAGCAGCCTGCCTTTCAATAAAAGGATCTAAATGTGTGAGCCCATTGGAAAAGGTTCACTTCAGGCAGCCAAGTGCTCCAGTGTGACATTCCATCAGCCCTTAAGTGCCATCTGGTGGTAAAACAAACTAATACAACTTGGAAACTGCAGAGGTAGAAAACATAGTACCTCTTATCTTAAACTTTCATACTTTGGCTTCAGTTTTTATCTACATATCTGCTGTTGAGAAACATTTCATGTTTTATTTCACTATATCCTCCTTTTTCCTAATGAACTTCTGTAGTTGGTAGAACAGTCAGTCTAAGTGTACATTTCCTGCTATCTAATCAAATCCAATGTGGCTGAATCACATGATCTTTGATTTATATAGAAATAGAAGAATCCAGTTCAGCTGTAAACATGGCATTGGCCACAGACATCCCAGATAATATCTCTGTATGAAATGCCAAAGAAGAGGTAATGGCTTTGCTGCAGAAAAGAAGCAGCACAGATCTTGGAATCACAGTGCCATCTAAAATAGTCTTATGCAGCATCTGTCCCCAAGACCTGCATGGCAATTTATAAGGAAAGATGTGATAAATCAGGAGGTTGTACTGGCAGTCCCACATAGTTTTATGGCTCCATAACAAAACTTGATCTTGGTTATGTTATGATTTGTGCTGCACCAGGAGTTTTTCATTAGTCCCTGTAGCAGACTTTCTCTTTGTTTAAGTAATGAGCACTGATCATGTTGCATGGGCAATGAGAATGCTTTTTTGTGTGGTGTTAAATTGTATCTATTTGTCACCAAGTGTTAAATATCATGTTTATGAGCTTAAGATTTACTATAAATTTTTCCTGGCAAATGAACTTTGGTGCTTTCTTTTCAGCCTGTCCGTGAAGCTGCAGGAAAAAATATGCAGAAAGCAAAGCAAAATGGAAAAGACTCTAAGCCGTCCACACCAGCATCTAAATCAAAAGTGAGTGAAGACAAATGAGTACAACAGATGTTTGTTCTAGTGTGGAAGCTAGTTTTCCTCTCCAGTGGTAACTTTAAATAATGTACTAACCATTAAATTAGGTTTTTGTACCTTAATGTGAAGCATGCTGGGGATGCTGTTGTCCAGGAGGGTGGGTGAGAACTCTTACCCACTACAGTGTGCCAGGAGGCTGCTGCTAAGAAGAAAGTCTCACTTAACCATTTGAGAATTAAGTTCAGTTGCTTTCTAGTTGTCAGGGTTCTTTATACAGCTTTTCCTTTCCCAAAAGACATGTGAAGCAGTGTGGGATGGGTGGCAGGGCTAGCATCTGAGGAGCTGTGCAGGTGTGTGCCTTTTATGGCAGGACCTATCTGGCTGTAGTTTTGGAGAAAATTCAAGCCACTGTGTAGGCACCTGCCCAGAAGCATAGGATAGTAGCTGTGCAACTGCAGTAACTCCAGCCTTGAATGTTGCTCTTTTCCTTGTCTCTGTTTTAGAAGCACAAATTTAACTTCTGTGACTTTGAAAACTGTCTGAATTATCCGAGAGCTAGTTTGTTTATTCTGTATAAATACTACAGTTGGCTTTAATACTATGAGTTTTAGAAAACTTGTGTACTAAGCAGCTTTGTGTGTGTGCAAGTTCCTAACAAAACAAATGCTTTTCAGACTCCAGATTCCAAGAAGGATAAATCCCTAACTCCGAAAACACCGAAAGTCCCTCTGTCACTAGAGGAGATTAAGGCAAAAATGCAAGCGTCTGTAGATAAGGTGGGTGCTCAGGAACTTCAGACTTGTCAGTTTGTATTTTTACACTCCCACAGATCAGAAGAGTTTGGATTTTTGTAAGAAATGTGTATCTGTCACTGGTTGCTGTGCTGTTATCGGGGTGTGTTGATGTTGAAGCTCAGAGAAATGAGAACTCTGTTGGTACCAAAAGAAGCCTCTGTACTTCTTAGAGACAAACACGACTTTGTTTTTATGTTTCCTCTGGTAGTGGTGATTAGGAATTTGGTATTTCTTAGTGAACTGTCTCTTGTTAAATATTTTTAAAGAAATACAACAAAATCCTAAGCAACAGTTGCTGTGATAATTATTTGAAAGCTGCCTTAAGTAGGGAACACTATTTTTGACAGCTAGACTAAAACAGTTTTTCATATGCTGAGAATTGTTTGGTCTTAAGCAGTATCCAGCTTAGAGATATCCAGATGCCTGTAAGGCTTTGTAACCTCCAGAAGGGGGAGATAGGTGCTTGTGATATGCATGAAAGAATCAATGAAGGCCTGGAAGCATTTGCTTTCTGAACTGCAGGTTTGGTGTTGACTATCCCCCCCTTCAATGGATGGTTCATTTTTTGAAGGTCACAGAACAGTCCCTGAACTTTTGATTGCTGTCAGCTTCGACTGGCACTTCATGGTTACACGAGTATTCTTCTTAGCTGCTATTTAAGCATAAAAAAGAAAATGGCCTTTTAGTTATAGGCTGGTGTGGTAAAACTGTAGCAGGTAATAGCAGTTTTGTCCCTCAGACAAGTTTGGAAACCTGCAGTTCAGAACACTTGTACTGTAGAGTTGTGGTAGTGAGGACCTGAGTTCTAGACTGACTTCTGGTTTTACTTCACTAGCTCAGGAGTGTGCTTAGAGATCATGTGCTCATTTGTGGCTGAACCTGATTCTTCATTGGAGACCTGTTTTTGGCTCAAGCCTGCACTGATGTTGGTGCTATGAAGAATTCTGGGCTTTTTTCTTTTTGACTGAGATAATACCTAAGCCTTTTGCCTCTTACATGGGTATTCAAGTCATCTAAAGAATTAAGATTATCTTATGCTTACATTCTTGATGTTTAGAGGCAGTTTTGTCCCAGGAATAGAGTGGTTGCAGGGTGATCAATGCCAGCTTGTGCTCAGGATAGAAATGCATATCCCCAAATTGTGAACCTGACAGTGATGTATCATTCTGCTAGGTCAAAGTAACCTCTTGGATCTAGTGGATACTTGGGTGGGTTTTTTTGCATGACTCAGAGGGACTGTGATTAGTTTTGTTCCTGCTGTGTAAGCAGAAGTGGCTGAGCTGCTCACATGTCCCTATGGAGGGACACACAGACCAGATAACTGGCTTTAGAACAGACTTTCTGTTGCTGAACAGTGTTTACTGGGGATGCTGTGTAAGCACAAAGAAGTAAAAGCAATAACAGCTTAATTTAATGTTTTCCAAGGTGGTGCTAGAGGATACCTTAGGCAAAAAGTCTATGTGTTGACAAACACAAGAGTACTTCAAACTTATAAGCCTAGGAGGTAGCAGCTTCAAAAAATTACTGTATTATTTCATTAAAGAGTGGAACTGTTGTATGATGTAGTAAGTACATGTCAGCAAGCTAATAGAAAAGCATCAATACTTGACAGGATCCAGGAGTAAGATGTAGTCCAAATCCCAGGTTATTTTGTTGCAGTTTCAGATATTCCTAATGTAGCTTTTTTTCCTTTGAATGTAAAATTGATGTCTTCTGTGATGTGCTGAGTAGCAACTGAGTGTACTCTCATAATTGGCTGGGCATATTTCATTGCTGGACCTGAAAAATGGGAAAAATGCTATTGATAAAGCAAGTTGGTGTCTCCAGGTAGTGTGCTGTATATTTTTGCCTGGAGATAAATGATGGAGATAAACTTAGTTCCATGATTTACTCAATCTGCTTTATGCATTTGAACATGTACAAAGACAATTTCAGAGATACAAGCAGATGCCTCTAGACCAGTTCTTTAAATTCATAGAACTAATGTATTAGAAATGAGTCTTGAAGGGTGAGGGTGAGGTGAGGTAATTTTTTGCTTTAGAGAGCTGAAGTTGAAATCCTGCTTGTGAAGGATAATGTCTCAAGCTGCTTGGTGTAGTAAGAATCTATACATATGGAGTTAGTGCTGGTTTATCTGAAAAGCAGAGGAGTGTTGACTACAAACAGGGTTATCTGAAGTGGTGCATGTTGCTGTTATGTTTTTGAGCATGAGTAAAGATGCTTGTACAGCCGTTTCAGTGTGTAGGCAGGCACTCCTGTGAGAAACACCTGGGTACTCTAGAGAGAGAAGCAAATTTTTAAACCATTTCAGGTTTAAAACCAGATTGGTTTGGGATGTTGCAAGGCAAGTTCACTGAAGTTCCATATGTAGTGTAAAGGGTTTCAGCTTCTCAGGTTATTTATTGGACTCATTAAATACTTGCATACACTAAAGCTTCCTTTTTTTTCAAAATAGGGTGCTACCCTTCCTAAGCTGGAACCCAAATTTGCCAACTATGTTAAGAATTGCTTCAGAACGGAGGACCAGAAGGTAACTGAATTTATTGGAACTTGGTAAAGTCCAAAAATTTTTATAACCTGACTTAGGGATTCTTTTCCACTTCTTAATCTTTACAAGCTTTGGACTGTTTCAAAGGGTTACAAACCACGAACAATACTTCAAATTAAATAAATGGGAAAGGTTTTAAGGGTTTAGTTGGCTAAGATGGGAAAGCTAATATTTTATTACATTTTTCCAGCTTTTATATGGTTGGTAAATTATCTCTTGCTTACTAAACCCACAGAATTTTCCTTTTGGCACCATATTGGCTAAGGAAATGAGCTGTGGTTTTCCTTGCTGCTGAAGTTGGCCACCTAGGCCAGTCTGCAGTTGAGCCTTTTGTTGGGGAAGGGTGTCTGGGAGGGGGAACTGTTTTCTGATTGAGATTATGGCTTTCTTGCTGCATTTTCTCCCAAAGTCAACTGAAATGTTGTAAGAGGTCAAGCCAAAAGTTGGTATCAGGAAGAGTTTCTGAAATGGTTATTACTCAACATACACTAGGCTAAATTGTCTTTTAGTTTTTCCTATCAAAATTCCTTTCGTTCAAACTTTCTTCCAGTGACAGAATTCCTTATGCTTTCCTGCTTCCTTCAGTGGTTCTGAATAAACTTGTCTGATAGACAGATTGAAAGGTTCTTGAAGGAATGTTTAAAAGCAGTTAGGCTCAGCTACTGGAGTTGGTCTGACATTAGGCAGGGTAGGCAGAGTTCAGCCAATATTTTCCTAGCTGGTCCACACCCATCCTCTCTCTTACCTTCACTGAATTCTTACTATGGTGACTTTAAATTTAACCTACGAGCAGAAGGACATAATGTCTTTCTTTTGACTTGGTTTCTCTCTGAAAGGAATGCTTTTTAAATGGCAATATTTTGTGGAGAAAGTGAAGATGGTAAACTGAAAATAATTAGAAAACTGGGTTTCAATTTCTAACTTTTTTTGTGTACACTTCCAGGTCATTCAAGCTCTCTGGCAGTGGAGACAGACTCTGTAAGGAAAGAAAACAGTTTAAACAGTTCATTAAAAATCTGCAGTCTTATTTCTGTAACCATTATTTGGCTGTTCTTTTTACAAATGCTGAAAGAGCTTTCCCTATTTTTTTAAAGACCTTCCCCTACCGTGTCTGATAAATGTCATCCAGATTACCTTGCCAAGAATGTGTTGTCCAAAATGCCTGTTTAGTTTTTAAAAGATGGGACTCCACCCTCAGCTTCATTCTAAGTATGTATGGAATGTTTTGATAAGGCATGGTGGTGGTGGTGGTCAGACAAATGGAAATGGTGGGGAGACTAAATGTACGTGGAAAAAAAATAAAATTTAGTATTTTAATAAAGTACTATTGTTTCTTTTTTATGGGCTGGGGGCAGTGTGCATGCTGAACCTGGGAGATAGCAGGACTTTAAAGTTCTCTTAAACTACTGCTGAGTATTTTAGCTACTTCTCTACCAAGTACACACCAGCCTCATTGATGTTGTCAACTTTCAAAAACAACTTAATTCAATGCCATGAGCTTTATAGCTGCAGAGCAGATGATTGGTGAGAAGACTTGAGTGGTAAGCGGGACTATATTCTTGTCTGGATGTGACCACTAATGATATAATTGCCTAAAAGAGCCTTTCCTGCATCTTGATTTCTGACCCACTTCACTGCTCTTTGGTTTATGGTTTCTCTCTTAACAAGGGAGTTTGTAGGGCTTGTGACTCCACTTGTAAAATGTAATACTTTTGATTTGGGAATTGCTGGCTGTGCTATTCCTCTGCGGGGCTGCAGCCTCTGAGGTTGCCTCACCTAATTGCTCCTGGGAGGGTTTTGTGGAGGAGAGAATTCACTTGAATGCTGAAGGGTGTGGCTGGAGAGCTCACTGAGGGAGATCAGTGCCAGTGGATAAATTCCTGGGAATGATGAGGGGCTAATCTCCAGCAAATCCCAAAAGCTCAGATGGGCAGGTAGTCCTATCAGTTCCTTTGGTCTTCTCTGATTATTGCCTATCAGTGGTACAAGGGGGCTGAGTTTAAACACGTTTTTGGACCATTCTTGGCTGTCATATAAAGTGTAAATGCCAAGGTACAAAGGGCTCTTCCAGAGGAAGGAAAACATGGATATCATGCCTGGAACCGACTTCTTCAATCTAAATGCTGTATCACTGAAATGCTTGAATGCTTTATCTATGTGTAGTAACTGCAATAATGGTATGAAGTAAGAAGGAATACTTGAAACATTTAAGCAATTGTATGCTATTAAACTTACTTAATCCTTGCCATGTGTGAGAATCAATGCAACTTGCTTTATTTTTCACAGCAGAAGAATCTTGAGAACAGAAGGACATTAAAGCTTTAGCAGGTTGAAGTTTCTTTCACTTGAAGGACTTGAACCATTGGGGTCCTACAGCAGCTGCCTCCAAGACACTGTACAAACCTTTGGGTTGTGCTGATGGGGCATTTTTACTGGGTGTGTTGGTTTTTTTCTGAATTTCTAGAGGCAGAATATTTGATTTACAAAATTGTCACTGGAAAATTTTTTTTTCAGGTTTGCTATTCTAAAAACCTTAGTTCCTGCAGTTGAGATTCTGGGTGTGATGGAAACCAGTGCATGTCTGCAGAAGCAAATCACCTTTTTTTGGGGGGTTGGAAATGTTAAGTAAAGGCCATGGTAGAAGAGTGCAACACATTGCAAATCTAGTGTCAGAGATTCATTTAAGCTCGAGTGTAATTGCACCATGTGAAATGGCAAAGTGTAAGGGTTTGAAATGCCTGTTTCAGTGGGGTTATGTCAATAAATGATGTCATGTGCACAAGTGAGAGCAAATTTCTCTGGTGAAACGGAGCTAATGGCGCAGACAGGCTTATTTAAGCAAAATTGCCCTCAATTTTGGCTGAAACAAGTGAAAATTGTACAGTAATTTCAGCAAGAGGCTATGCAGCCAATGAAATATTCTTGAGTATTGCACTTTTTCAGAAAAGCCAGGGTGTTGCCTGTCTCTAGGTCACTGCCCAGAGTGGGCCCATGGGCTGCAGCCACGCTCGGCACAAGGGGTGGTGGAGCCTGGCTGGGCAGTGCTCAAGGGAAATGCATTTCTGGGCTGTAGCCCAAGGTACAATGTGAGGCCAAGTGGTGTCAGGCTGCTGGTAAGCAGTGTGAGGCATCTGCATCATGGCATAAAAATGGTAGCTTCCCTTGGCTCTGGTTGGCTCTCGCTGTTTTCTGCTGGTTCTTGGGGCTGTGAGGAGGGGTCGGAGTGGCTGCCCAGCCCTCCCAAGGACAAACCTCACCCCTTCCTGCCACTCGTGGCTCCAAACACCTCACTCCTGTTGGGAATGGCCCTCCCATGGCTCCTGTGGGGCTGCTGTTATGTCTTCTAGGATGTTCACGTGCCTGGTCTTAAACTTCTTAAAATGTTGAATTAAAAAAAAAACTTGGTTTGAGGTCAGGTGTGGAAATCCCTCTAGAAGAGAAGAAAGTAAATACCAGATGTGGGTTATTGAAGTCCGGTTCTTGACTTTCTGTACACTTGAAGCACATCTTCACTGTGGTAAGAATGGCATCATTGCAGCAAAGCTGTGGTGTTTTGGCAACTATGTTGAGGGTTCTAAGCCCGTGTGATCCTGGTCCTTGAGCAAAGAGGTACATGATGCTCATGCAATGCAGGCTTTCTTGCCCTACTGGGTTCCCAAACAATTCACCTTTCCTTTACAGGCTGGTAGAATGCAGGTGCTGTCCCTTAATCTCTCCTTTCTTCATGAATTTCACCTTCCCTGTTGCAATATCTTCCTTTTTCCGTGGCTTCATTTCCTCCCATGTTTCATTCCTTATGAGGAGCAGGTAGTGGGTGATGTTCCCTGCACGGGAAGGGAAGGCCACAGGGCTGAGCAGGGTATGTGAGCCCTCTGCAATTAATGTTGTTAATTTGGGGAAAAGGAGGCCCCTGTGCCAGGGGAGGTGAGCATTCCTGAAGCAAGCCATGGTCCCTGAGGGACTTGTGTGAGGGGGTTCCTGAAGGACTCTTTCCCATGGGAGAGGCCCCATCCTGAAGCAGGGGAAAACTGATGAGTCCTGACTGAGGAGGAAGAAGCAGCAGAGACAAGGTGTGAGGAACTGGCCACAACCCCCATCCCCTGGTGCTGCTGGGCAGGAGAAGGCAGAGAAATTGGGGGCAAAGTAATTGAGCCTGGGAAGAAGGGAGGGGGAAGTCAAATCTGTTTTACCTGTGGCCATAATGGGTGAGTGAACCCTCCCTGTGTCTACCCATGAGCTATTACTTTTATTTTCTCTCCACACTGAGGGGATGCGTGGTTCTCTGCCACCAGCCAGGCCCAAACCGTGGTCCTTATTCCTTGGGGAGTCCAAGGAAAGAGCTCGTGGCCAACTTAGGCCTGTCTTGGGGGGTTCTGTTTGCTCCTGTGAACCCAACCAGCTTGCCAGAACCACCCCCAAGCCCTGTTGTGCATACAGGGCTCTCTGGTTCTCCCTGCACTTGGGGATTGTTGCAGCTCTTGGAGAGGAGCGAGGGGAGCGTGTGTGGGCTGAGGTAATACAAAGCACTGCCAGGATGGGTGGTGGTTCTGGGCTTCTTGCCACCCAGACAGTCCCCCAGGGGCTAAGTTCATGCTGGAATATGCTCTCTGTCCTCTCCTTCTCTAGAAATCCTACCCAGATACCCCGAGCATGTCCCGTCTCCTTCCAATGTGTCATTACTCACTAACAGTCTCTCAACTTTCCCTTCCCTCTTACCCTGTCGAACTAGCACATAGATCCTTATCCCATTTGCTGTTTTCCCAAAGGAGAATTAAAGACAGGATCCTACTTACAAAATGTCATAGAAGAAGCTGCAAATGAATTGGGTGGTTTGGAGCCAAGTGTTAGATGGAAAGCCTTTAATTCCTGGCCTTGTCTGGTGGGCAGCAGGTCCTGGAGAGCAGCAGTGAGGCAGTTGGTTGTGTTAAGTGAGGTTTGGAGGTTTTGTGATCTGATATTTACTATGGGTTGCTGTGTCTGAATCCTGGCCCTTGTCATCCCACCAAAATCACAGAATCATCACAGTTGGAAAGGACCTCTGAGATCACCGAGTCCATCCATCAACACGACCTTGGCCACTAGAAGTGTGCCCTGTAGTGCCACATCTACATGTTTCTGGCATATTTCCAAGGATGGTGACTTAACCACCTCCCTGAGCAGGCTGCTCCAGTGCCTGGTCACTCTTCCAGTGTAGAAATTGTATGCATGTATGGCCTGAGGTCATGGATGGGGATGACACTTGCTCTGCTCCTTACTTTCTTCAAAAACTTTCTTCTCCCCTTGTACCACTTCTATGAGCTCTCCCTAACCCAGCCAGAAGAGCCTTTATAGGAAAATTACCTGCTTGAAACAGAGTTGATGTACCTGGTTCATCAGACTCAGTGTTTGGTTTAGGCTGGTACTAGAAGCAATAGTGAAGGCAGTTCTGTGACAGGGTCCTGCAGTCTCACTCAAGATCCCTTCAAACTAATTCCTGGGGCTCTCAGCTTGCTGAGCCCCATCCAGTTCTCTTGGCTTATCTGGTATTTAAGAGAAAATAGGTTCCTTTTGAATGCAGATACAAGTTTTCAAAGCTATTTTCAAATTAATCCTGAGGGGTTTTAAATTTATTTATATATATATATTTAGAAACAAGTTTAGGGAGAGCTGAAGGCCTATAGTAGCTTGTTGAGGTACTTGATGTCCTACTGCTCTATCCACCTTCATGCCTGATGTACCTTTTCTCATGACTCCTTAGTCCTTTGGGACTTCTTGTCCCAAAGCTTGTAGTTGTGATGTTTTCCCAAGAATGTCCTTGATGAGAGGCTTCTAGTGACACAGATCACCCTGTGTTGAGGCAGTAGCTGGTATCCCAGTGTTGCTGGGACTGTTCAAGGCTCACCTTGAGTTCCTCCAAGTTGCTCGTTCAGTTGTGCCATCACAGAGGACACTGATGGGCACTGAGAAGTCCAGGACATCACCAGCTGATCAGTGCCTGCAGCTGTGTTTGCATCAACCCCAGACTGCCCCTGGGGTGGCATGTGTCAGCTGTGGGGACACATGTGGTGGTGCAGCCCCCAGGTGAGGTCCTGCTTGTGAGACAGCACCCGTGGCAGTGCAGGGGCAGATGGGCAGGAGCCTGGGAGGGTGGCATGGGCAGGGGTTGGCTGCCCCAGAGAAGAGGCTCTGCAGATGGGCAGTTAGATGGTGACTTGCTGGAGACAGCTTAGTTCAGGAGACCAGTCCAAGATGCTTATGTTTAAGAGCTGTCAAGCTGAAAATCTCCAAGTTAAGGAAATACTAAGTTTTGAAGCTTAACAGCTTGTGATTTATTTTTTTATATTT